CACAAGAAAACGAAGACCATAAGACCGAAGACAAAACCAGAACGCGTCGGCCTTAGGGGAGCAGCTTCGACCCAGAACTTTACCAAAGACCCTCTGATACTAATAGCTTCTTTGAAATGTCGTGAAGATAGTGTATATGTAGATGGAGAAATAAATGGTAAAAAGCATACGTTGTTGGTGGATACTGGAGCGACCAGAACCATTATACGCCCGACAGTTATAAACAGCCGAAAGAAACTGTTACCAACGAGGTTGCGACTTCGGACCGCCACAGGTGAAAATGCCAACATTCATGGAGAAATCCAGGTACAATTAGGAATTGGAGCAGAAAAGTTCGTCCATACTGTTATAGTTGCTGACATCGAAGAGGATGTTATATTAGGAATGGACGTAATGAATACGCATGGATTCCAATTGGATTTTAAGAATAAGGTAATCAAAGTTGGTAACGAGGAGGTATTTCTCCATCCACATGATGACAACACTATGCAAGCAGCCGTTAAAGAAGATACAGTCGTGCCTGCGAGAAGTGAAACGATAATAGTAGCGCGGCTACAGGGAATTGTGGACGAAGGAACACCTGTTATGATGGAGCCTTGGAATCATGACGACGAAGTTGGCCGTGGAATCATAATTGGAAAAGAATTAGTGACTTCGGCTAAAGAAATTCCTGTGAGACTTATTAATGTCAATGACTACCCAGTGACCATCAAGAAAGAGACAAAAGTAGGAACTTGTGTACCTGTCGCATCCATAATCCGTCAGACGACAACGTCTGATAATTCCAACGATAAATTTGATCAAATGGTTGCGGTTGCTGGACAGTCTCCGAATCAGATTGAGAAAAGGAAATTAAAGGAATTTCTTCGGCAGTATCGTGATATTTTCGTACCGAAAGGAGGAAAGACGGGAAGAACTACCGTTGTTAAGCATAAAATTGATACTGGTAATGCTAAGCCAATTCGTCAAACAGCTCGACGATTACCACAGGCGAAAAGAGAGGAAGCTGAAACGATTTTTCAGGAAATGAAGAAAGACGGGGTGATAGAACCTTCTACGAGCCCATGGGTCTCTCCGGTGGTCCTGGTTAAGAAGAAAGACGGAACAACGAGGTTCTGTGTGGATTACCGTTTGCTGAACAACGTTACCAAGAAAGATAGTTATCCTCTGCCTCGGATCGATGACACATTGGACACATTGGCTGGAAGTAAATTATTTTCTACTTTGGACTTGAAGTCTGGATACTGGCAGGTAGAAATGGACCCGGTAGATAAAGAAAAGACAGCCTTCACCACAGGATCTGGATTATGGCAATTCAACGTTATGCCATTTGGACTTTGTAACGCTCCTGCGACATTTGAGAGGCTTATGGAAAATGTTTTGAGAGGGTTATCTTGGAAAACATGCCTAGTTTATCTAGACGACATAATCGTCTTGGGGGAGACATTTGAAGACCATCTGAAGAATTTAGAAAACGTTTTTAATCGACTTAAAGCTGCCCAATTGATGTTAAACCCCAAGAAGTGCCAGTTATTTCAAGGTAAAGTCAATTATTTGGGTCATATAGTCAGTAAAGAAGGAGTGGCCGTGGATAAGGGAAAAATCGATTCTATTAAGGAATGGCCAAAACCAACTGACAAACATCAAGTGAGAAGTTTTCTGGGACTGTGTACTTACTACCGGAGGTTTATTAAGAAGTTTGCAGATATCGCTAAACCATTAACACGACTTACAGAGGAAGCAAGAGAATACCGCTGGGATGTAGACTGCCAAAATGCCTTTGAGACCTTAAAAAAGCATTTAATCACAGCACCAATTTTAGGGTATCCACTGCCAGAAGGAGAGTTCATCTTAGATACAGATGCAAGTAATGTGGGAATTGGAGGAGTGCTGTCTCAGATTCAAGGAGGACAGGAAAGAGTCCTTGGATATTTTAGTAAAGTTCTCTCAAAACCTGAGCGAAATTATTGCGTCACGAGAAGAGAACTTCTGGCAGTAGTGAAATCAGTAGAGCACTTCTATCAATACCTCTATGGAAGGAAGTTTTTAATCCGAACCGACCATGCCGCCCTTAAGTGGTTGATGCAGTTTAAGAATCCAGAGGGTCAGATAGCCAGGTGGATCGAACGACTCCAAGAATATGATTTTAAGATTGAGCACCGGGCCGGAGTTAGCCACCGAAACGCTGATTCTCTTTCCAGAAGGCCATGCCCAGCAGAGTGTCCTCACTGCAACAAAACGGAATCCAAGGAAGCAGCAGTGCTAAGAACGACGGTGGTCCACGACGACTGGACGCCTACCAAGATCAGGGAAGAACAAGAGAGAGATCCGGTTATCCAGAAAATCCGAAAATGGAAAGAGGAAAACCGTCGACCACCTTGGCAGGAAATATCGAACCTAGGCTCGGTAGTAAAGACGTATTGGGCCCAGTGGGACTCATTTATCATGGAAGATGGCTTGCTCAAACGAGTCCTGGAAAATGATGACGGTTCAGAGAAGAGAAGACAGTTGGTGATTCCAAAGAGCAGAATAGCCGAAGTACTTCATCAGTTACACGACAGTCCATCAGGAGGGCATTTTGGTGTGAAAAAGACCCTTCAGCGAATTCGGGAACGGTTTTGTTGGATGAACAGTTCCGACGATGTAAAAGACTGGTGTAAGAAATGTACTATTTGTGCTACGAGTAACGGGCCTTATCGAAAAAGGAGAGCTCCTATGAGACAATATAATGTTGGAAGCCCGTTTGAAAGAATAGCTTTGGACATTGCTGGGCCATTTCCAGAAAGTGATAATGGAGGCAAGTACATGTTGGTAGTAATGGATTACTTCACTAAGTGGGTCGAGATTTACGCACTTCCAGACCAGAAGGCCGCCACCGTTGCAGATAAGTTGATCCAAGAATATATCAGCCGATTTGGAGTGCCTTTGGAGATCCATAGTGACCAAGGCAGGAACTTCGAAAGCGATTTATTCCAAGGAATATGTGATAGACTAGGTATGAAGAAAACAAGAACTACGGCTTATCATCCGCAATCGGATGGTATGGTAGAACGAATGAATAGAACAGTTGGCAAGTATTTGACAAAGATGGTATCCGATCATCAGCGAGACTGGGACCAATATCTTCCGTTCTTCACAATGGCCTACAGATCTGCTGTTAATGAATCAACAGGCCAGACACCAGCCAGAGTCCTATTCGGACGCGAGATGCGACTACCTTGTGATCTAGAGTTTGGGTGTCGACCTGGAGAAGATGTAGCAGGTGAAGATTATGTGATCGAATTACGAAGAAGAATGGACGATGTACACGAGTTGGTCCGTTCCCATCTCCAAATCGCTAGTGACCGAATGAAGAAACGGTACGATACACAAGCCGAAAAGGGGTGTTTTAAGAAGAACGATAAAGTCTGGCTTTATAACCCCAAAAAGCGAAAAGGTTGTTCTCCCAAATTGCAGCAGTTTTGGGAAGGTCCATACCTCATTATGGAAAAGATCAATGATGTTATTTACCGAATAAGCAAGATTCCGAGAGGAAAGCCGATGATAGTACACCATAACCGGTTGGCGTCTTTCGAGGGTGACCACGACGTAGATGAAGAAGTGGAAGTAAACCAAGTCCAAGATGTGTCTGACCTCACGTTTGAGGAATTCATGGGTGCCTATGGAGGTACCGGTAAAGCAAGACATGGTGTTACCACTGAAGAAAGGCAAGATCTACTCGCGCTTCCCGATGACTACTCACTGGCCCTTACCATCCCGGCCAGTATCAAAGATGCACCAGGGTTGGCATCCGTCTTTCGAAGGAAGTTTGGTCGAGTTGCAGAACTTCAATGCCAAGTGCCAGCTCCTGGTAAAACCTTGAAACTTCAAGATGCATCACGTTACCTTTTCTACCTGGTAACAAAAGACACTGCCCGTGACCAACCTACCTACCGAGATGTATGGGAAGCCTTACTTCAGTTGAGAGAGCACGTACTAGAGTCCGACGTGCAAAAATTAGCCATGCCAAAGTTGGAGTGCCGCCAATTAGATTGGAGGGTTATACGAAACATGGTGGAGGAAATCTTTAAAGACACCGAAGTCCAGGTGTTAGTCTGTTGCAATCCGCATAGTTACTGCTGCGGAGAGAAAACCGTCCCTTGTCATTTCTATACAACTGGAAGTTGTAAAATAGGGTCCAGTTGCCGATATCAGCATGTCGTTCAAGTTCCAGTCCCGACAAGGTTCCAGGAGGAACCATCTTTTAAGAGGGGGGCAATGTTACGATTTTAAATGTTATGGCATATAGAACTGTAAATATTTTATGACTAATTCTTTTTTATTGATTCTCGTAATTTGTAGGTCAAAATATACCTGAGCTTCGCTACCAGTTGTTTACAGAAATCTCTAGACACTAATTTTAGTGAGTCATCCACGTCTCGAGGTTGAAAAACGAGTCGAGCGCCTTCACCAAAATACGAGATTATTCAGGAAGTTTGCCGAAAGTTCCAGATGACAACAGTTGTGTATATAAATGAAAGATTTTTGTATTTGAGTCAGTCAGAAGAAGATCGGTAAACGCGATATTTAAATGTAACGAAACGTGAAATAAATACATTTGTAAAGTTATTTAATAAATTAGTAATTAGCTATCGTGAGTTTTAATAAATTAGATTATAGACAATAAATTAGAATAAAGACAAATAAATTAGAGCAATAAAAAGACGTCACAATATCATTCTGTCCAGATTTATCTTCCACCTCTGGTGCCCATTGGGCTAATCGGATTAGTTGTTTATGTAGGGAATATTAGTGTTGATATCTAAAACGTTTTTCTTATACGTTAGATGAACCACTTTCTAAATTATTAATATTTTATTATTGATAATCAATAGGAGAATATTTTGTTGATGTTATTACGTAAACAATCACGAACAATGTTTAAAATTATCTATTTAACTTTCAATTTTAGTTTTTATGACTTCCAAATAAACTTAATAGTGATTGATTTTTTTTTTCAGGAACAAGGAGTATATCTCAATACAACAAACAGTTAATATTGGACTTGCATAATGCAATGAGGCAGTCGATTGCGTTGGGACAAATAGGAGGTCAACCTCCCGCGGCTAACATGATGGAAATGGTAAGCAGTTTATGTATTAATTAACACAACCACTGAACATCATTTCAATCGAGTAAAACAATGTTAATATTTATATAATAGCGTACTAATTGTGTTACATCAAATTATGGTGTTAGAGCGTTACACAAAATTACATAGAATAATATACTAAAGACCATTTTTTAGAAAATTTAGTCACATAATACCACACGCTTTTTCGGTATCAATGCGTATTTCTTAAGTAGAGAATTTTAAAATACATACCACAATTTTTTCACGAAAATTGTTTCGGTCTAAACCGTAGTTTTATCAAACATAAGTAAATAAATATAAGTAATTGATCATATGTCTTCTTCTTCACGTGCCATATTAGAATTATTATCCGACGTTGGCGATCACCATTGCGAAGGCTTCTCGATCTTCTGCAATATGGAATAATTGTCCTGCATTTAATATCTGAGTCCATTTACTAATGTTTTTTAATCAAGAAACTTGTTTTCTTCCTACACCTCTACGGCCCTCTATTTTGCCTTTAAGGATCAGTTGTAATATTTTATATCGACTTCCCCTTACTATATGTCCAAGATAAGACATTTTTCGATGTTTAACAGTATTTATCAGTTCTCTATCTTTGTTAGCGCTCCTTAGTACTTCTTCATTAGTTTTCCTTGCTGTCCAAGGTATCTTTAGCATTCATCTATGACCCCACATTTCCACTGCTTTAATTTTATTCATGATATATACTTTTAGCGTCCACACTTCTACACTATACAAAAATACGGACCAAACATAGCACTTAACTATTCTTTGTCTTAGTTCTAAACTAAGATGATTATTGCAAAGAAATGACTTCATTTTTATAAAAGTAGTTTTAGTCATTGCTATTCTACGTTTTATTTATATCTCTGGATATAGTTGGTCCGTTATCACAGTTCCCAAATATGTCATTTTCTGAACTTTCTTAACTTGGACTCCGTTGAATTAAAGCTTGTTGCATTGGAATGTGGGTCACGACTAAACACCAAAAATTTGGTTTTGTTTGAGTTTATTTTAATACCCATTGCCTCTCCTACCTTGAATACGATCAAGCAGAATTCGGAGACCTTCAATATTTTCTGACAGAATTACTGTATCGTCTGCATATCTAATCACATTAAGTAGTTACTCGTTGATTTTTATTTCATATGGTTGTTTCTCAAGTTGAAACCTCGATACTCCGGGAGTATTGAATTTTAACAGCCAATTGAAACCTCAATTAATATTTAGGGCGGAGTATATGGAGAAGGAGATGATAAATTAGAGAAGAACTAGCAAAGAAGTTCTTATAAAAGAATGGCTTAGCTCAAAAGAACACAGAGACACCAAACCTCAAGCAAGAATTCGGGCTAGCCTCACTACACTAGAATTTGGCTTTAAGATAATGGAAAAAGAGATCTTTTAACCAAAAGAATACAATATAATAGGGCAACTGAAAATCTGAAAATATAAAAAGGGTAAGATAAGAGAATATACGGAAATGCCTAGGAAAATACTGAAATGGGCGCCAGCTAATTTCTGAAGGAAATTAACGAAAAATAAATAAATTAAGTTATGAATAACAAGGAATAAAGTACTATTGATATAATAACCTGCAATAAATTTTAAAAACCAAAAATAAACAAACATTGTTGACCTTTGCTCTGCTATATTATAACTGTAAGTAGGAACTGAAATAAAAGCTAAACTACTTGTAACAAATATATTTATAACATGAACAAGTAACAAATAACTCACTTATATACATATATATATATATATATATATATATATATATATATATTATTTGTAATCTCAGCAATTGGTCTGTATGAAATAAAACTCTATTTGTTATTTCTCAATATTTCGTCACGATTTTGTGACTTCTTCAGGAGAAAACTGTAAATTTATTATAATTATTATATGTAAACAAAATGAATATTTCAATACTTACAACTTAAGATTAAAAATTTAAATTTTGAGAACATATCCAATTTAAATAAATGACATTTGTTTGATTTTAATTTATTTGGGAGTTATGCTAACCGCAATATTTTATAGAGTGAATTCCCATTGTACAATTTTTAGCGAATAAGTTTTAGTAAACAATTACATATTGTGACAGTTATCCATATAATCAGGAATCAGGAATCCTGATTCTTTCTCAATCTTCTACTTTTGCACCTTATTATATGGATAACTGTCACAATATGTAATTGTTTACTAAAACTTATTCGCTAAAAATTGTACAATGTCATTTATTTAAATTGGATATGTTCTCAAAATTTACATTTTTAATCTTAAGTTGTAAGTATTGAAATATTCATTTTGTTTACATATAATAATTATAATAAATTTACAGTTTTCTCCTGAAGAAGTCACAAAATCGTGACGAAATATTGAGAAATAACAAATAGAGTTTTATTTCATACAGACCAATTGCTGAGATTACAAATAATATTTAACACAGTACGGTCGAGAATAATTTGATATATATATATATATATATATATATATATATATATATATATATATATATATATATATATATATATATATATATATATAGATAAGGTAGGGAATATAAATACAAAAAAAAAACCGTGACGGTTATACAAAAGAAACTACCTTACCTAACAAAATATACGACTACTATAAGTAATCGTGATGAGTATGGCCAACAGACTCGTAACGATATATATATATATATATATATATATATATATATATATATATATATATATATATATATACATATATATATATATATATATATATATATATATATAATTATATATATATATATATATATATATATACATATATATATATATATATATATATATATATATATATAATTTAAAAAAAAAAACCTGATATATAAATTTCTTCCCTCCCTTTTTTTTAAAACCACTATACAAAATCATGAACCCCTTCCCTAACAATGAATCTAATTTAATTAATTAATAACCATTTACCTAACTTTTTATTGTTGATACAAAACTGTAATAAATGCTAACCTTGGTATATGCATATACAAAGCTGTAAGTTACAAGAGAAAAAAAAAACCTTAACCCTACGAAACTAGAAGTTAATGTCCGTCACAACACCACAGCTGTCCTGGTTAAGTCCCCTTAAGACTCTGGCGGTCCTTGGGGCTCCGAAAAACGAACGAAGGAGAATGCTGTAGTCCTGGAGACAATCGTTTCTTGGTGACCAATGGGTGGCAGTAGGTCTTTGGTTCAACTGATATTAATATTAATTATTGTCCTAATCGGGCGAAATCTACAAAAAATAACACTTAGAGAAACATCAAGGTACCCCAAGATGACTGTCAACGCGTACTCTCACATCGAATTATCAAAATAAACAAACATTTTATTTTATCAGCTTATTGCCATGCTGTCAATTTATTGCGTCTGCGCATTTAAAGAATATTTCGGAGATTAGGCGTAAAACTTTTTATACCGAGTAAGTATACAAAAAAACATAACAACCCTAATTAGGTGTCCGATAAATTTACGGTCTAAGCTCAAGGCCACATGATACATATGACAAAACTCGGATTTTATACTGTTAATATTTCCAAAGAAAATGAAGACATCAATAAAATGATATGCTTATAAAATTAAATGATTTAATTGCTCACCTGGGTTTTAAATAATCACTGCGGCAGATCCGGAAGCCGGGTTTTTTAATCTAGAATCTTTATCATGTATATTCTTTATCATATATATATAATATATATATATATATATATATATATATATATATATATATATATATGTATATATGCATATATACATATATACTTTATTTATGTTGTTATAATTCCTCCCTGGATGTTCGGGGAAAGTATTAGATCAACTCCCAGATTTTCTACCCGATTTTGAGACGAAAGATGCCGGTAAAGGCGTGGAGAAGTACCTCTCTGGTTGAGTCGATGGCCAAAACTGACTTTAGCGCCTCTTGGCCACTTTATCGCGCGTATCGCATCGTGTCGTCAATTGTCCATAAACGTTTCATAAAGGGATTCTGAGGGGTTTTAGGATTTTAATAATTAATTATATTAATTAGTCATATGTTAGCAGTTGTGACTGCTACAAAGTGCCTTTTTAAATAACTGGTCCGAGTAAACATTGAACAATGTTGGCGACTTAACGCAACCTTGTTTGACTCCTCGTTGTATGAAGATTTCATCGGTGTAGTTATCTCCAATTTTTACGATAGCAGTTTGATTCCAATACAAATTTTTAATGACACGAATATCCTTGTCATCTATTCCGATATTTTTCAGTATTTGCATTAATTTTACATGCTGTACTTTTTTGAATGCCTTTTCGAAGTCCACGAAACATGCAAATACATCTTTTCTTTGGACACGGCATTTTTGTAATAGGATGTTAAGCGTAAAAATTGCCTCCCTGGTTCCCATAGCATTTGTAAAACCAAATTGGGTATCTTCAAGATCTTCTTCGCATATGCGTGTAATTCTGTTGTGAAAAATTTTTAGGAAAATTTTAAGACTGTGGCTCATTAGGCTAATTAATCGATATTCTGAGCATTTTCTCGCATTGTGTTTTTTGAGTATTGCGACAAAGATGGATTTGAGGCAATCTGTGGGAATCACTCCGGTGTTATATATTGAACTAAAAAGTCTTACTACTACTTTTATGTTATCATCCTCTATTAGTTTCAGCAACTCAGTTGGTGTATCATCTAGACCAGGGCTTCTTAAACTTTTTTATATAGCGACCCCCTTCAAGCTTAGGAAATTTTAAACGACCCCCTCCTCCATATAATGAAATATATATTAACCGTAGATGTAGGTGTAATATGGCACTATTTTACAATGTAAATAAAATGAGGATTAAAGAATACGTACTCATTCATTTCACATATATATAATTGGAAACGTTGACGGGATATTGGTCGTAATAACACACAATAAATAGAATGATATAAAACTATATATATATATATATATATATATATATATATATATA